TCATGCCGGCCCAGCATCCTCAATGTTGAAAAATGCCCCGGCACGAAGTGGTTAATAATATTAAGAACACTCAACAAATGGTCCTGCATGCAATCCCGGCAGACCATGTGTCCGAAACAGGACTCTTTTTTCATACATAGGAAACAGCACATTGTTCTAAACATTAGAGAGGATAACCCGCTTTCCTTTTCCATCAGCTTTGTTCATCTCTGAGTAAAATGTACATGTATGACCACGAGATCAAGTTTTTCAGTGGCACAATGATTTTCCAGCAATTCTACCCTTCACTATTTAAAGCTCACATACAGTATATTTTGTAGGCCTACACATGTACATGTATGTGGAATGGAACCGAGTTTTGAGATCAACGGGCAGGTGCCCAGGTAGCCGGCACAGGCATACTTTGCCCATGTTATTTCCGACTTCACCCTGAACCACTTCACTCCACTAGGCCTAATGTTAGCATGGTTAGTCATGCTAGTCCAGTGTGAGCCTCAATTTATGGTAGGGGTAGTCTGAGTAACGTGGACCTTACGGATCCCTTTTAGAAACATTTGGACATGGTCAAGTGAAAGCCCGACCACGTCCAAATGTTTAAAATGGCAATTTGTATTTTATTGTAGAGATCCTACATGTACTTGGACTATAGTAGAGGCACCAGTGTGGAGTTCATTACTTATTCCTCATCTGACATTCGACACTACATGCTGAACATGTACATGTACAGGTAAATGTTTGATATTCAATGTTGAATAAGTAACTATTTGACATGCAGGATGCACACCCCAAAAAGCACAGGAGTGCAAAAGAAAAAAAAATCCAAAAAAGTATTTGGACCCTGAAAAACACCATGCCATGTGTTGCCAGGAGTCGTCGCTGATTGAGGAGAACAACGACAAAGTGTATAGAAGCACTTTGAAAAAAGAGATATAGAGCCAGGGCATGGGATTGATGTATTCAGTTTGACAGACTGAAATAGTTTCGATGAAAACAGCAAGTATACAAAAACTAACCTTTATTTTTCCTGTAACATGTCTAATTTACTAATCATGCTAATAATTATACTGCTGTAAAAAATCATTGCCTATATTTCTGGGCATGTTTTATGCTGAAAAACCTGTTGCCCTTGGTTCCCTCTGTGGGAGAGAGTTGTTTGTGTATGATGTACATTATTATGAATATGAAATGGCACGTACATGTACAATGACTTGGGTACGGGTAGGAAAGGATTAGTTACTCTATTTATCGCGGTAGTTATCACATTTCCTGATCGAAATAAAGATTGCTCACTCACTTTCCCAAATTATCCTATCCTTGCTGTTGTTTAACTCTTACCTTTTAATTTGATTTATAAAATATTGTTTTGTTTTTGTTTATTAATCTTCCTCAATGACACAGTACAGTACCTCAGAAAATCTGTGTGCGCACCTTATGCAAGCGGAAGTGAAGTCTCTATTGCAGTCGGCCGTCGGCCTACATGTACAATTGTACGTGGCCTACATGTATCTAGAAAATTTGTCTACGTAGGCCTTTAAAGCGCTTTGTTTACGAATAAATAATGATAAACAGAATTAGTTTGTTTCCAAAGGACAAAAAAGCCTCATTTTGTGACAATTTTCCATTTTACCTGTAGCTGACTCCTTTTTTAATACGCTTCGGGCCGGCCCAGTATGCCATCGCCAGAAGCTTCATGATAATTGTCAAGTGAGGAGCGCCACCAAGAGGCCACGCCAATATACAGGAGGTTTTCTTTTTCATTGGTACTCGGAGATCAATGCAGATTACATACTCAACGCGGAAACTAGGGAAACTGCTCTCAGTGTATCGTGAACGTGTATCTATACCTTCATGCAGCATACCGGCGCAGCAATTGTGTTGCTGTAGAAAAGCCAATAGTTTTTGGTCAAAATGTCGTTCCGACCGTTGCCAATTCTGTTTATTAATTTGGGAGGGGAGATGCTGTACATCCTTGACCAGCGACTGCGAGCGCAAAACATCCCACTCGACAAGTCTAAAAAAGGTAGGACCTACATGTAGGCACCATCACCATGATCACAGATCACCGATCAGTCTAAGTTCTTCGGCAGTCATGGCAGTTCGGACATCATCATAGACCATGGCCATGGACACAGAAATATGTCCCAACTGTAGTGTATGCTAGTACAGTGTTGCAGTTGGACTGGCCCAACAATTGCCTAGTAGTACTGGTATTATTGGTCATGTTGGTGGCCCGTCTCTACAGACATTTCTCAACCTTCTCCACATTTGTGCAATTTGATTCCTGACATAATTCATCTCAAATATGGCACTTACATGTAATTAATCTGTACCGTCTGACCGTACTCACCTGTAGTGTAGGCCTAGGCCCCCTATAAACAGGATAAAATTTTTTTGTAAAAGCACAAGTTGATGATCATGATGATGTGCATGTATCGCGGGAGGTCCAAATTTCGAGGGGCCCTGTTTTCTCATCTTTACATGTACCTTCTGCGTTATGCCGTGTGATGTAAACAACTTCAAGTTAAATAAAGTACCTTCAGACTTGCTGAAGATCTTCTCTTCCCACTGACCGAAAAATGTGTAAAGTTAAGGCTTTGGCGGTAAGTTGCACTCATAAATGTCTAAAGTTTATGTATTTAGGCCTAGTTTACAAGATACAAAAACATTCTACATGTACATTGTGGGGATATTTAATATTCATGACAGTGTCTTTTAAAGTTTCAGATTACAATGTTTCAAAGTCGCTATTTGTGTATGACTGCAGTCACCGTTGCATGCAGGGAAAAGTACAGATGCTTAGAAAAGACATGTTCCTTAGGCTACATGTATATCATTTTCTCACTGCCTGGCAAATCATTTTTCCCTCACGTTTCAATTCGTGCACGAATATAAAACATCTAAATACTTATGTTTCTAAGAACAGTAATTCGTTTTGGGTTTTTTCTTTCATTTCTTTCAACAAATGTTAAAGTAAAGTGACTGTGTGGAGTTTTTACAATGAAGGCCCACAAAATAAAAAATGGATTGATATTTTGACAAAAAAGAGATTTTAATAAATACTCATTAGGCCCTAGATACCGGTATTACAACCAACACTTGACATCCTAGAGCAAAATACGTACATGTACATGTTACTTTCTCATCTTGCAGAACATGTGTACAAGCCAAGTGCTGCAGTCTGGGCAAGTGTCCACAGGAACTACATTGTATTCACCATCAATGCTTACCAAAGCATTTTGGTGTGTTGTTGATGTGAATGAGCCAAAGAAGCCTCGTGTGATTTCTCCACCTCAACCTGATCCAAGTCATGCACCTGCACCAGAACACAACATCGCTTCAGAGCACCACCGATGGAGATGACAGCGACTCAGAGATTGATAACAAGTGCCATGTTTTCCACTGATTTTGACCCACTGAACTTGCAAACTCCATCAATTTAACATCATGGAGCCAGTGAATGTTCAAAAACTGCTTGCACTGGACACACATCAAGTACACTGTACTGTTGCAGTGTCATCCTCTCTTGGCAAGGGATACATTTCAGTGTCACACCTTGTCACAGTCTCCCATGTTTCCAACCCACAGAGGAGTACATGTAAATTTTATCAATGCAGTTTCCTTTTTTTATCAGGAGACTTCCCGTGGAAAAATATAAGCCATTTTTTTAGTTCTAGCATGTTTGTTATTGTGCCAAGTAAATTATGGTTAACCACTTCCTGCCAGGCGACCCGTTTTCGAGTACATAGGCTTTATATGCAGAGCTGGGGATCCCGGAACTGGGACAAAAGAGTTGGGCCTTGTAACAAAAGACCGTGCTCAGCACAAAAGACTGAGCTGCTGGGCATTACCAACATTTTTTCGCTCTCAATAGTGGGGATAATCCAGCCTTGTTTTGAAACAGTATACCACAGTTTGAGACATGTAGAGTGACCGGATTACCACCGGGGACAAAAGCTCTCCACCACCCGCAGTGATGAGCCACACAGCACCACTGCATGCTAATCTGGCCCCTGAAAAGAGGTCAGCAGTGCACTGTGCTGGTTTCGGGAACAAAAGAATCTTACCTAACACCGCACAATCTGGGCTCTTTTTCCAAGGCTGCAGGCCTGGCTGAAATATTCAAGAGTCTGTGAATTTTACCTGTTAGCTTTAGAGTAGTGCCCAAAGAGTCTTTCATGTGGGTATAAACAGCCATTAAATGAAATGATGAATTTTTGAAGAATTTTGAAAATGGAAAATCTTGAAAAGGACCCGGCATCTTGTCTTGCTGAAGAAAAATCCACCCGGCAGCAAGTGGTTAAAGAAATAATCTCGACAGTAAGCACTAGAACATGCTGTTTGTTTTGGTTTTAAAAATAAATGAAAGTGTGTTCAATATACAAATTTTCCAATTCATTAATTTTATGTTTAACAAAAAATAAACATAGGACAGTTGGAAAAAAACATAAAGCACAGAAACACCTCCAATAGTTTTATTTTATTTCTTATTTGAAATTTAAATTTATTTCAGTATTTTTGAGGTAAAAAAAGAGATTGATTTTGGAAAAGACAACTTCCGACAAAGGATAAGATGAAGTCGCACGGCAACAAACATTTGTTTCATGCATGGCTTTACTTGGACACCGTACCTCTGTACAACCCTTGAAAGTACATGTACATGCAGGTCACACTCACCGACGGGTGGCACGTTCGTGAGAGCATTGGAGATTACTCCGTTGGGCTAAAGCTGTGTAGGTCATCCAGTTTTGATCATTGTTATCAATTACATGTACCGGTAACTAAGGGAAGGGGATGAGGATATTGGTTGATATCTTGCATTTGTTTGTTTTTGTCAAATTAAAGAAAAAGCCTTATTCCCTTGAAAACCGGTCTCTGGTGGATATACGCGCTATCGGTTCCTATATTATCAAAGTAACCGAGTCTATAGACCTTATTGCTGTTACCATGTGTGTGATTTGAACAATGGAAGAAAGGCATTGTGGGAAGAAAAAAGTGCCGTTTTCCCCCTTTTTTCTCACGATGCCTTTCTACCATTGTTCAAAACCACCCATGCGGTATACTATTAGCAATACGTAAGGCTTATTATCGTGGTATCAGAACTACTGAATTTTGCATTGGCAGTGAGATCCTAGTCGGCAATAGTCGCCCAGGTAATCAATAAATTATGGCCTGAGGATTAGGTTTATTAAAACAGAATGAAAAATTCAGCATGTTTCCGTAAGTTTTTTATTTTTTAATAAAAGATGTAATTTTTCTGAAATTTAGATATTTTCCTTCACTGTGTCTGTCATTACCTACTGTACATGTGCCATGTATCTCTTTAATTACTGTATATTGACCGCTACCCTGCCCCTGGATATCTGTTCCTGGGTTCCCATATGTCAATTCTGAAATGGCCTAAGGTGTCTAAAGGCACGTTTTAACTGTGAAAGTGCCCATTTTGGGGAGTCAAAATACGGGCTCCTGTGCCGAAAAATTGTGTGTGTGTGTAAAGTGCCCCCTCCCATCTCCATTACAGTAGACTTGTTTCAATGGTATTTACCCTCTGGGGCAATTGATACTGAATAATTACATTGGCATTATTGTCTCAATTTTTGCTCTTCCTACACAACTTACGTCAGTGGACATTTAGAATTTCTAATGTTATTTTGAATTAAACAGTTCAAGTCCAATTATATGGTTATAACTCTGGGGGAATTAGAACTCAGAAAGCAGACTTTTTTACGATTGTTTCAGACATCAATAAGAATTAGTCCACAAAGAAAATGAAATTGGTGATAGCCACATATTTATTATTCCTTAGGCAAACACCAATATTAGTAATAAAATAAAAGTCAAAGTTGTTGCTGCAATTAAGATTGAGGTATAATCTTCTAGTGAAAAAACTGAAGTTATTCCATGCCATATACATGAACCGGTACATTGTAAATTGGTAAGTGTAAGGTAACACACTGGCTGCAATTATTCCGATCTCTGTCTTTCGGTGAAAGGCATCTTTAAGGAGAAGACTAGAAAAATACAGTAAATTACTGTTACCGGTAAAATGGAACTTTATCCCAAAATAAGGTTATTTTGTTTCCTCTGAAAACTAAATCATTCTGTTTATCCTTATTTATTCATAAACAAAGTGCTTTAAAGGCCATCATACAGCACGTTCCCACTTGCATTGGGAAAAGGTGGATCTTGATCCAGCATTTTGGTGTGATCGTTATCTTACCGCAACAAAACCGCAAGTCGCTTGATCCACCTTTTCAGATGGAAATGTTGAGCCCGAAAGGTCACTGAGTTCGGTATTGCGCATGTGCTAGCTTGCTGAGCGCGCACTCAATGGCAGTGTTGCATGCTAGGGTGGCATGCATGTGACCCTGTGGTGTTTTGGGCGCGGAGTTCTACTGACAGAACGACCTTGAATCAGACCAAATGTTCAGCCTAGTACATTGTCTCTTCAAACTTTGCTTCCGTTTTGATACTCTGTCGCACACTGAGGGCTATACGGTAACACAGAATTAGTTTTTGACGGAAAGCAAGTGAAATTACACAAATGAAAAAGGTTAAGAAATGGACGAAAGCGCAACGAAAATTGTGAAAGGGCAAGGTACATGTACATATCGCAGCATACATGCATTGCACATGTGTGGTGACACATTTCGCTAGCCCGTAGTTCAGCAGTTGTGGATGCTGTGCTCGTTAAAAATTTCACATGAGCTACATGCCAAAAAACGTATTTCTTTGTTCATCAGACCGCAAAAGTTTTGGGCCACTCGTGCACGGACGGATGTTGACAGGTCAAATTGCCGGATCAGATCCACCTTTTGTGTTCCCATCTGATCGTGATCCGCCAATCTCAAAATCTGATCCACCAATTGGGGGATCTGTATCCTGCTCCAGAGGAGGATCAAGAAAGGTGGATCTGATCCTGATCTACCTTATAACGGTTAGCGTTCCCTCTACACACAATTGCCAGGTCTGATCCACCAATTGGGGGATCTAATCCGGCAATTGGGCAAAAGGTGGATCAGATCTTCCAATTGGTGGATCAAGTGAGAACGGGCTGATAGAAACCATTGAACCGCAATAATACAGACTCCACCTCCGCTTACATACAATGCATGATACACAGATTTTTGGAGCTACCGTTACATGTATCATAGAGGAAAATAAATTGAGCCACAAGCAAAATCTTATGAATCAAGTTAAAGAGTAAGAGTTCAATAACAACGAGGATAAGATAATTCAGGAAGGTGAGCGAGTAATCTGTATTTCGATTGGGAAATGTGATAACTGCCATGAGAATAGAGTAATCCATCCCACCCAATTTACATACATTATACATGTATGTGCCATTTCATAATGGACCCCACAGTTCTAGGGGTAGACATATACATGTAGGCCCGTCCCATCTTGGGCCTGTCCCAACTGAAGTCCATGACTGTCAGGTCGTAAATATTCTCCACCTACACTATACTGTCATACCTGTTATACATGTAGTGTAGATGGGACAGTCCCAACTTTGTACATGTACGTAGTTAGGACTGATGCTGTAGGTGAGGTGTTAAACAATAAACATTCTGACTAGGCAAGATCTACAGGCATAACCTGATGACAGGTTGACAGGGGCTGAAGGGGGACGCCATGGCCTACTATGCCTTGATCATGTCGATCCTCCTAAATCTGTACACCTGGGACTTTGAAACAAGATTTCCAGAAAACTACTGTGAAGTTTGAATTTTTGGAGGTAACTTTATGTTTACAACTCTCAATCTTTCATCACAGCAATTCACATTGCAAAATCACTTCTTTTTGTGCCCAGGAGTGAGTCAAGTTTTAGTGGGTTCAACCCAGGTGTGTATAAAAATTCCTATATACATCTGTGGAGGTGATACTCCACGGTGGCCAAGACTCAGGATTCACAAGTTTATTGAAAGGGCGAGTCATGGTGTTTTTCACTGAAACGATAGATATTTAAAGCAATTTAAACAACTTCAAACTTAATTTTCCATTAAGCATTTCCAAATCATTTGAATATATTTTAAAATCAGAAATTGAGATATATACAGTATGAATTAAAAAAACTGTTTTTGTTTTTTAACGTAAAGTTCCTTGGTCTGTCAACATTAATTTTAGCATTTTTGAATTATAATTGACACTTAAAGTCTGTTAGTGTTATTGCTTCCTTTGCTTGTTTACTTGTCTGTCTTGACAATCTTCACTACAGTAGCCTCATGCGTACTGCCCCACACTAAAAACAACATTCCACATCTTGTACATGAACCTGTACATGTAGGTCCCCCTTTCCCATACACCTCATGACTCTCCATTAACCACCCAAATCCCCTTCCAAAAAATAAACAAAGAATTTTTAAAACAGAAAAATAGGCCTAATGTCCCTCAAACACCTTCCTGGGAAGTGTCAGGCCTCATTCAGTTTCAGCATTTACTCCCATATTCCTTGTTATTTGCACGCCTTTGAACCAATAGTCAAAACCCCTGTCCCCATACACACCCCCTCCCACACCCTTTCTGCAGTGACGGGAACACTGGTGCATATCCATCTTGCCATTACATTTATTGATGAAAGTATGGAAAATGGGCAACCCATTGTCAACCCAATTAATCCAGCCCTCTTCTGAGAGTAAAAATGAGAATCCAAAACTTTAAGTGAATCGACCGCTACTTTGAATGTTCACTGAACTGACAAAATAAACAAATTAACACTTTGCACCTTCAAAAATAAGAAAAGGGCCCTGAGCCAATGACATTACCTGTATGTTAAATTAAAAGTATGGCAAACTGCAAGATGATATGAAAACTTACTGAATTTTGGGGACTTACGATACAAATTCTACTGGTACAATAGATAGTACCGGTACCATACTTGTGTACGTGTGTCACATAAATTCGCCTTTAAAATGACTGTTTGTTAGGATAACATTACACATACACAAAACACATACATAACCTATCGGTACATAACAGTGCGGGATTAATTTCCAACATTTTGGGATCACGTTGCACATTGTTGAATAAGGAACTATGTCTAAGGCATTTATGAGTATTGCTTCAATTTCTGCGATGTGTAAAAGGCATGTACAAGTATATTTTAAAGCTTGTTTCTTTCTCCACAGTCATGAATGACATCATTAGTACCATGTTCAATCAACGTTTCATGGAAAATCTCTTCAGACCACAAGAGATTTACTCCAGGAAGGCAATGCGTACAGTGTTTGATCGACTGGCTCATGCATCAATCATGCGCCTCAACACAGCCAGCATGGATAAGGTACCGTAGGCGAGAGAGTTGTTAAGCTTCTTCCATAGAAGCGCCGTCTGGATATTGTCATGTGCATGCGTACATGTACTCTATACCTGTAGATTATCAGGTTTAGGTGGCTATCTTAGTCTTCTGTATATGCCATTTGTACAACTTTTGGTTGGTACAAAATTAAAAAACTTCGTACAGATTTTATATATTTAAATATACTGTAAGTTATGGATGTGTACACATTTATTTGAGAATTTTATTTTCTCCCCTCTGTGTACATGTAAGTGAACCATTTCATCTGATTGATTGCCTGAGACAACATTCCATACATCTTGTACACGCTGTACCATGTGTACCGGTATATCAGGGAACAAAGTTCAAACAACTGCACTGAGTTCCCATCTTAAAATTTAAATGTGCCTGGATGGTCAGAGGGTATTGTGTATATGTACACATGTACTTGTCACTGTTGTGGCTGACGTACTGGTACAGTACCGGTACATGTACAATGTACATGTACATTTAGACGGTGTACGCACATGTGCATGTACATTGTATGTATCTGTGCATGAACTGAACTGAAAAGACAGGACCAAGTAAAAAAGTATGCAGATACAGTACAGGAATACACAATGTATAAATGTACGCTTCTGTGGTACTGGTACCAGTGTTGTTGACTTGAGTTGCTGACTTGGACTTGAGACGGACTCGAGTTGCAATTTTTTGACTTGACCCTTGACCTTACTGGGAAAAAAATGACTGACTAGCATGACTTGACTTCAAAGAATAAGACTTGCAACCTGACTCGACTTGACTACATTTGACTTTGTGACAAAAATATGACACTGAAGTTCACATACTGTACATGCACTGTATGAACCAGAATTGTGCATGTACAGTACATGTATAATTTGTACCCCATGTACAAAAATGGCCAATAGTAATAAATTCGTGTCTACAATATGTTTCTCAGTTTCTACTTAGCGTTTACAGTGTAGTTCACTTAAAGAACTAATTAACAGCATTTATTGGTTGCTGAAATCCAGACATCCCTGCATGTACATGTACATGTACCGGTACATGTATGCATCCTGCTACATGTATGTATCTAAAGTTTCACCTGTTTGATTCCAGTTTTATCGGTACATGTATGTGCACATGTACATGTACCAGCACGCCTTCAGACAGTGGTAAGATCATGTACATGTACAAAGCGGTATTCATGTGCACTGTACATGCACATGTGCAGGTGAATATGTACTGGTACATGTACATGTACCAGTACCCGGTATGTACATTGTATATATTTCTAGTTGCCTGGTTGTCATAGCAACAAGTCAACCACACAGGGCAGTAGTTCAAATAAAAGTTTGAAGCAAAAGACCCTTCCACTAATAAATTTGAATGTACATGTAGTGTACATGTACATTTGCGCATGCACATAATAATAAATGGCATGTGTAGGCAAAAAGCCATTGAAAATGTTCAGGGGCACAAATTTCGACGTCATTTTCTCTCAGCCTACTGCACTCTTTTTTCACTTTCGTCTCTGGAAAATCAACCGAGAATGGTGGATTTTAGCCCAACATACTGATATCACACAATTTCTTTTACAGCTCTCATAGAATGGAACCCTATCAACTTCTTTTGCCCTCATGTACTTTGTAAAGTTTTTATTTTGCTCTCCAAAAGTTCCTTTTGCACCAGAAAGTAATACATCTACATGTACATGTAGCTACATGTGTAATGATTTCAGAGGGTTTTTTGAAGACAAAAGTGAAAAAGAGTACAGAAGCTGGGAGAAAATAACGTTGAAATTTGTGCCCCTGTATCGGTACATTTTCAATGGACCTCTCAAGCTTTTGCCTAAAGGAGGTTTTGCGTACTTTGGATCAATTATGAAATGCCATGTAGAATAATTTTGCAGGTATGGGTACCTTAATTAACATTGTAAGACTGTGTGCTTTGATTTCAGCTCTATGATTTGATGACAATGGCTTTGAAGTACCAAATCTCCCTTTGTCTTCGTCCTTCGGATATTTTGTTGGTAACCTTCAATCATCTGGATGCCATCAGAAATTTCGTTGAGGATTCTGTCCCAATATGTAACCAGGTAGAGACAGTCATCAAGATGGTGATAAAGGTAAGGCTTCCAGGGTCCCCTTTGTAGCACACAGATGTTTACAGTGTATGATTGGTAAAAGAACCCAAGCTGAAAGATGTCAAAAAGGATGAGAAAAATGTTATTTTGTAAAAACAGGACGCTGAGCGACTTTCGTACATTGTCATATACATGTATGTCGCCGTCTAAAAATTGGTCTTTGAGCACAAACAGTGTAGTTTGTCAAATAAACAGAACAGAATGGTACTATGGTGTCTGTATGTTCTTATACTGGGCTTCTAATGAAGAAATATCGTGCGATGGCAGTGGATTGACTCCTTTGATTGCAAACCGTAAATTCGACAGTCACGCTCGTAACAGCTGTACATGTACCAACGTGAAGACTCGACAAAGGTCCAAACCCCATCCTTGTTCCCGGTTGTAGGAAACATTTCATGTGCATGTTGCCCATACATGTCATACCGGTACAAACTGGGTACGAGGCTGCGCTTATACATGTACATGTATGTGGTTTTACTGGAACGTACACCATCAAGTGGAGGCTTGACACGGTACACAACGCACACTTACATGTATAACGTGTTACGAACAGGATGCGATTGCAATCACGGTGAGAAAAGTCAGCATATTTAATTTGTGGCAACAGTTGCTGATTCCTTGGGCATTCTAAATTTACCGATGAGTTTTTTGTAGAAGTACCTTCCGAAAACCCGCGAAAATTTAACATATTAATGATTAGTCCCCCAAAACTGACCAGTAATAACCCAATAAATCTTTGTGTATTAGCTTACTGTTCAAGGGCTTCCTAAAGTTTCTGTTCCGCGGGAAATTCGACGGCAATTTGTGCACTGAGTATCCCGCAACGTATGCTCTACTTGCAAATTCAAGGTGGTTTTGGAGTGTGATTTTTCAACTTACGTGTAAGGAAGTTTCTGTAAATTCAACATCACATAGTTATCAAATGAGAGTTTTTCTACTCTCTTGTGAGTTTCCCACAGAGCAAACCCTCTAGAAATTAAGAAAACCGAGGAATTCCCTCGCGCATTTTAGCATGCTAACCTTTGCTTTCATGGTGTTTATTGTGCATAGGCCTATGGGGCAAATGAGCTATGCACATGCGACACACACATACATGTAGGCCACCTACACACACTTGGTGCATAGTGCTGGTACGAAAAAATTCAGTCAGTGTAGTTTTCATGGCTTTCTTGTCATTCACATTTCATCCCAAAGTAAAGGTTAAAATCTCTTTAAATGACACAGGAAGGATGTCAATAAAATATTATTTTGTCTTCTTTAAACAATTATGCCTTTTAAAGTTTCATAAATGCATACATGTACATGTACTGGTACAGTACATACACATGTACATGTAGTAGGCACATGCCCTCGTTGCTACTTTCTAGTTTGACTATTTTATTTGATCACAAGTTCCTCAAAATCCAAAATAATCCAAGAAATCTAGAATTATTCATGCACTCCAATTCATGGTGTCATAGTTACATTTTTCATTTTTATTTCCTCATTTATTTCATTAAAAAAACAACATCAACATAGAAAATTCATGAACCTATGTAATGATTGATGAGATGTTCAACAACAGTAACTCAAATTTCCACATACATGTACCAGGGTAAATTCCACATAATGTAACACATTTCAAATTATACAATTATAAGCTACGGTTTCCCAGATCATGCCCACATAGGCAGATAGGCATGTTCTCAATAATTCTAGGGTTTGTGCATGTATTTAGGCCAAACCTGCAAAATGTTTCCCCTGGTCTACCCCTATAGGCTGATAGGGCCAAACAATATCCAATTAGTATTCTGTTTTTATCATACCGGTAGGTGACTCTATCTTGGATATGGAACTCATTATATGAATACGTTATGCAGAGTGTGTGGAGAAAAATCTCAAAAGCACAAAATAAGGCTAAGCCCATAAAGAGATGTGCCGACTACAAAGAAAAAATAAAGGAAAAATATCACATCAACATCTCCACAGATGAAAGGCAACGTCATCCCCAATTCATGTGCTACATGTATCTGTGTTATTCATATTTGTATCTGCCCAAGACCCGCACACTGCCCAGCAACAGGTCTACTCACCCAAAGGAAGGTGCACGTGTTTTATGTCAAAAAAGTAAAAAATAACAAGGGTGGTCGTCTAGCAACTAAACAGAAATACAGCCCTATGATGTTGAAGAACCTTATTCTGCAAGAAACTGAAGAAACCATAAAACAAGAGGTGGAAGAGCAATTCCAGCAGCTGATGGGAACAACCACACAGTTTTTCCACGATGACTTCACCAGTGATGAACCCCATTTCCAGTGCAGTGTCTGCAATCAGATACATGTAACATTGGCTAATGAACAGGCCAGTAGAGACTCCATGCCAGCACAGTTTTTGTTAAAAATTGCCTACACAACATCTTTGTATGAGTCTAATTACTTGTCCTTCCCTTTTATAAGTGAAAAAAAAAAAAACCCAACCAATGTCATTTTATCCAGATATCATCGTCAAAATGTACATGTACATACATGTACATGTAGGCCTGTGTGATTGCCGTGAAATGTGTACGATAATGTGCTAGATTCCCTCATTAACCTTCTAAGAGATTGAGACAGTACAGGTGCATGTAGTGTTTTTCAAAAAATCATTCTGAATTATCTCAGGGGTTGTTCACTTACTTCTTGTATAAATCCACTCTCCAGAAGCATCTGAGACCGTTAATGGCTCATTTTTTCATGGGAAAATGTACTTATTTGGTCTATAATGCAGCTACATGTAGTGATGTACATGTAACTTCCCCTAAAAATTGACATTTTCTCCATTAGAAATGTTGGAAGTACGCGACAAACAAGGCTCGGTTGGCAAACGATTTTGTAATGTTGGGGCACATGGGACCAAAACTAGTGCTCCATAGCGACCGCACATGACACCTGATACATTCAAATGTATGCAAAATCTATATATAATCATGACAAGTATTTAACAATGTGTTTTTATTGGCCAAATTGACCACAAAAGTGATGTTTATTTATTGTATACCTGACCACGTTTTAGCAACAGAGGGCGGACTCCAACAAATAAGATTGCAGCATGCGCACAACTGTTTGTCGCTTCAGTAACAGCGGTGTTATGTGTATGTTGAAGACCGGCCAAGCACATACATGTATAACTATTCCCATTTTTACACACGTCTGTCTCAAGTTTTGACATCCTTACTGCTGGCATTACAACCTGCTTACATGTACTGTAGATACATGTATGTTCACTTTTGTCATAAAAACTCCTGCATGCACCATGTCACAGCAAATAAACGTGTCAGAATGTCTGAATGCTTGATACTCGTATAACATATGCTTACATGTAAGAATAATAATTCAGATTTATATTGCACACATGTCCACCCTGCTGGGTGCTCAAGGTGCATCATTATCATGATATCTACACATTGGCCTCACAACAACTGAACATTGCTAAAACAGTCTCAGCTCCCTGAAGAGTACACTAGCTGATGTTGCCACATCAAGGGCACACAGCTAAACCAAATCTACCCTCACAGGTACCGGTACCCATTTTACTCCTGAGACTTGCCCAGGATCACAACATGCTGCCACCAGCTGGATTAGAACCCTTGACCCTATGATCAAAAGCTACAACCCTAACCACTTGCCCCCCACAAATGTATCAAATTGTTGATTACAACATGCAAACATACATGTACATGTACCGGTACAGTGTACGTGTACAGGTGTATGTATGAATGATCTTGGCCTCTGATCAATCCAGGGGAGTCTGTGGCCATAGTGACGGTGTGGGATTTGATGTCTAAGGTTAAGGCACTGCAAGAAGCATCATCTTCAAGTCGAGAATTACGTGTGAATTAAGCATTTTCAAAAAGACTTTCAAATACATATAAATGTATGTTGCCTTTGATTTCAGACCTACAGTTCACTCTCCATGGGAGAATTTCAGCTGATCAGACAGACACTTTTAGAATTCTTTCAAGACATCCATATACGGGTAAGAACACATTTTTTTCATATAGAAGTACCAATCAAAAATGGAATTTATAGAATGCTTAGCCTCTTGTAGGTTGATTGTGGTAACTCTTAGGCATGTTAGGGTTATGCGTAAATAAGTACATGTAAGTTTTGTCTGCATTTACCTCAAAGTACCAGTATTTGATTGTTGTAAACCCATGTACTGTATCGGTACATGTATATTCAATATTCAAAGCAAAAACACAAATACAGTACATGTACATAACTTTAGAGTTGATATGAGTACATGTACATGTATGTGTATAAAATGATAAATCTTTGTGTGATTGCAATCATGTGTGTGTGTACATGTATGCATGTGGCTGGGTTGTTCAATTATACGGTATTTTACTGCGCCAAGGTGTATTTTGTACAAAATGTCAAGCGTGTCTTTGTTCAGTCATTTAATATTTACCTGACAAACACAGTGCCATCAGTATACATGTGTGTTGCTATGGTAGCAGCCACCTTGGCATAAGAAGTGGATTAATTATTTCTTGCTCCACACGCACGCAGTACATGTAGCTGTTGTCAAGGCTCCAGTACTACATGTACATGTGTACATATGTATGTACATACATGTACATGTAGGATTTTGAATTACTGTACCTACATGTATAGCATATACTGTAGGTTGCTGGACATTTCTGTAATGTGTAACTTATTGAGTTCTGGACGAAATGCAATCAAGAAAATGAGGCTGTTGAAAAACTTGAAATACATACATGTACATGTATGCGGTACATGTACATACAGCCAGAGTGGGAAGGACATGTACCGGTATGCCCCAAAATGTAGTGTGAGAGTTAAATGTGTCATAGTGGCCCAGTTACGGCAAATTGTACAAAATCAGACCCATGTGTTAAGCATGAATTTGGATTTCTTTTTTCCTGAAGTGAACAGTATTGAATTAATTCACTGTGTTTGATGAAAGGAGGGGAGTCATTACTGATATCTGGAACACCAGTGACCATGCCCATCATTCATATTGATCACAGTGGGATGAATAATCCTAACACTCCTCAATCCTTCTCCTGTTGGAGGATTGAGGAGTGTTATAGGGTTAAAGTCTCAAATGGTCAGCATTTTCAATAAGCATAAAGACCCTATACATGTACCGGTACATTTTACCGTTCAGTTTTTGTTATTTCTGTTTATAATTCTGACCATTCAAATGAAAAGTTAAAGCAGGGCTATCATTTTTACTTGACAACAATTTTGATTTCCCTGTTCATTCATTCACATACATGCATTCTGTATATTCTGTTTTCCTTACTCTACTTTGGAAATCCAATTAAAAGCAAATTGACAAGTCAGGAAGCATGTTATACCCATGAAGTTGATTGGAATGAAAGGATGTATCGACATTGTTTGCTGGTCTTAATCATCCTCATCCCACTGTGTCCAACAATTTAAATGAACAAAATGACTCCTTAAATTTAGCTTACTTAACTACAAACTACATCATTCACTAAACTAAACTAAACAATTTAACTACTGCTGAATTAATATAAGAAATTGAATTATACGCTTCATTATCCAATTGTAAACATGTCGATACATGTACAGTACATGTACATGTGTGCAGTACATACATAAAGGTGCAAGCCAGATGGAGCTGACATTATTGTGGCCTATTCTGCTCTCAGGTTATACTATTTTAATGTACGTTATTTTTAATTTTTAGGTGGATTATCAATGTCACATGTACCGGTACATGTAAATGTATGTACATCATACATGTAGCTACAAGTGCCGTTGATGATCAAGTTACGTGCATGTACATGTACCGGTATGCACCTGTTGTTTCCTTTATCATGTTTATAAAATTTGTAGAAATATGGTATATCACCAGTGGTTGTCAGATTTAACCTCAAGAAGAAGTAGTAATGTTTAGGCAACTAATGTTTATTACTTCATATTTTGCGTGTACATGTACATATACATACATGTACATGTAGCTGCGTGAGATTTTGTACGTGGTAGCCAAAGATGACATTGTACATGTAGCCCCATAAACCTTCATACCCAGTAGTTCATGCTGGACATGCTGGATGAGCCAGTAGGATTCAGCTGCCTTCATCATTTTGATCATGTGACCCAATCCTGTATGAAAGTGACGTGAACACAACTGAGCATTGATCAATCTAAAATTTATCAGATTATCCATAGCAACTAGTGAACATATGCACTAATACACAAAGCCAGCACATCAGCTTAAAAGTACAGCTACATGTATCTGGCTATAGTACATGTTATGTGCCTGTAGCCTGTGGGCATGTATACATGTACATGAATATGATAATCACAGTCCTTGACTGTATCTGTGAAATGAAAGGTCACTATCAGCTGATCAGCAACAGAATCTGATGTGTAGACTTATAATGCCCACGATGGCCTGGTCATTATCATTAAGATGAAAATCTACATGTATCATGTACATGTACCCAGAACACAGGTACACTGTCATTTGTCGAAGAAAGTATAAATTTCACTGCACAAAGACCAGTCTGGAATTTTGTCAGTTAAATCCCAAAGATATTGGTTGTGATGTACATGTAATGTACATGTGTACCCCTTCTACCGGTAGTGCTGTTTTATGTTTCAATTGTTTGTGTTTTCCAATTTTTCATGTTAAGAGCATGGGGAGTTTTAAAAAATTTCTGTACTACTGGTACATGTAAACTTCTACATGTACATGTACGTGTGTAGAGGGGGAGTAATTTAGCATGGTGCTATTGGTATAGCAACAGCTGCGGAGTAATTTTTTACATGTAGTAACTGATATGTACGGACATACATGTATTTATGTACATGTACATGATGTACTGGTACAGTGTACATTGTACATGTACAGCAATAACTTACTATGTGCCACATTTTTCTGGCCGGTACCATGTACATGTATAATTGCATAGAAAATATAAACTTCAA